TGATGATGATGATGATGATGATGATGATGTTGATGATGAAGATCATGACGATGGTGGGGATGATGATGATGATGCTGATGCTGATGATGATGATGATGATGATGATGATCATGAGATGGATGCTCATGATGATGATGATGATGATGATGATGATGATGATGTAGGACCGGGGAGGGAACCACAAAGCTCCCAACCTCATGAGAGAGAGAGAGCCAGAAGAAAGCTTTGGATTGGATACTTAGTTAGGTGTTTAATTTTCGGAGGTTTCTAACCTGCCTTTTTTCCGTTTTGTTCCTACTTCACAGCAGTGCTTGTTAAGACAAATCACATATCCAAATTACATGGCAGGTTCACACCAAAGGAGCACACACAGTTGTGCTGTCCAAAATGCTGGTGCCTTTGCTTTACAACAGGTGTTGAAGACGGTGTCGTGGGGTGTTAGATTGGCGGCACAGTTCCGACTTGGTTCATCATCAAAGACAGCAACATCAGTGTTGGTACTGGTGCTTCACTGCCGCACAGCCATAAGGTTCGTCTAAATTGGATCTGGAAAAGTGAAACCGTAGGATAGATCATCTTTCGGTGGGCGATGAATGCAACATATTTACTTTTTTCAGGAAAGTTAGAAGCTGATTTGAATTACCGAGGATTTCTGACACACGTGATAGAAGATGGATGACAGGATAGATTAAAAAAAATTTGTGGAGAGTTGTGAGCGAGCTAGATCTGTATTCCTAAACATTTGATTACCTGTTAACAAGAAAATTGGAGTGATGGATCAAGTCATAATTTCTTGGAACCAACTGCTGATTAATCCCCTTCCCCCTGGGGATATCTGGAGTAAGGTAGACACGCGTTCTTAAGGGTCCTAGTTAGATATTACTGATGAGTTTCAACAGTAAGAAGAAGTTGCCTACTGCTCCCGGGTTTCTAAGTATTGTACATGATCAAATCCCGAATCAAATTCCAAAACTTCTTCACCACTCAGAAACTAGTAGTTTAACATATCCCACGAGTCGTGTGAATTTTCCATCCGAAGATTCTATTCTGAGAGGACATGAATTGAGTGAACGAAGGATACTATCTTTATGAACAAACCACTGCAGGAAGCACAGTGGCGGGAATTCCCTCAGAAATTCGTCGTACGCTCACAGACGATGATTTCACACATGAGTTAAACAGTTACACATGTTTTCCCCCAAGTGTTTAAACTTCGGCAGGCCATGCGTGCAAACGACCGTTTTGTGACCCACTTCATACCAGCCTGTTTTTCGACAGATGGAGGTCCACCGTAGGTTGAGCACAAATTGCAAGTCTTGGAGATGCAATTCCTCTACACAGTCCTCAAAAGCCTCCAACAGACTGGCAGAGCTCTCTCTCACAAAACTGCAGAAAGTGTCCAACCCGTTTCCTCCCAGATACTTAACTGAGAGCGGCTGGCCAGTTGAATGCTTCGTTCAAACTTAGGATACAGACTCGCTTCTCTTTCAATCACCACATTCACATTGTGTGGCAACGTGTTGACTGGCTACACGAGAGCTGACGCCGCAGATACCAGTCGCACCCGTCAGGTGAATTCTATTCTTCCTTGGAGAAGATCTGGCAAGTGCGACTTAATCACATTGTTAATCAGCTGCTCGTGGTCGACCAAATGTGTTCAAACCATTGGCCGAGAGGTTGCGAGTTCAGCAGTGAAGCATCGATTTTCTTGTGTGATGTGGTTTTCAATGATGATGATGATGATGATGATGATGAGGATGATGATGATGATGATGATGATGATGATGATGATGATGATGCTG